ACTTTGAGCTGCATGCTCTTATGTATGAAAAGTGCAGTATAAATAAAGCAGAGTTTGAGTTGGGACTTTTGGAGCCAGCCTCAAGTGGAAACTCGAGGAACTGCAGATGTTTACACTTCCGCCATGGCTTCATTTTTCAACACCAGAGGTTGCTGTGTGCTTGTGGCATGGACTAAGTGTACTTACCTTCCTTTCTCCACTGAGGTGCTTTGATTGCCCTGCACCTTTAGTGATGTTAAGTATTCCTTAACATGTTTGCATTTAGTCGAGTTGTACAATTCAGCACCAGTAGCCTAGTGGTCAGTGCGAGGTTATGGTCTTCTTATCGAGCGGGGAAGGCTTCAAATCTAACGTGTGGCTCCCTTCCCACATGTCATTCCCCTCTCTCTTTCTCCCCAATTTCTGACTCTGTCCACTCTCCTGTCTACAAAACAAAGGCATCATTTTTTAAAGCCTCCCAAAATTGTATTTTGCCGTCTCTTTGTTTCCCATCGTCAGTAAACACGCACATGTACAACTAATCCTCTGCATTTGTGTGTTTGGTGACAAAAACAGCGTCAACCGGACAGTGATAGCGATGCTTTGTTTGAGGCTCTCTCTTCCATCAGGAGATCATTGCATACATAATGAATGAAAAGCGCTTCATGTGCCCACACTGGGACACATTTACCATCACCCCCCTCACACAATCACACACACACACACACACACACACACACACACACACACACACACACACACACACACACACACACACACTGCCTTACTGCTGCTGAGCTGATTTCTGTGTCACTCTACACTGGATTGCTTAAGCAGCACATTTAAACATCCAGATTTTATCAACATTTAATTCTCCCAAAGTGCTCACTCACTGCTGGAATCGTTCTGATAAATCAGTGTTTCATATCTGCTGTGAAAAAAGCACTAACATTTCCAATAAGGAGAAACGCATTACGGAACTGATAAGCAGTGGGAAGACAAATTGATTGTAACACAGCCAACATACTGAAGCTGAATTACAACTAGAAAAGAGGCAGCTAAACTGAATGCAGAGCAGTGGGGGGGGTTAGATTTTCCTGCTCTGTGCACAATCTCAGAGTTGGAAGTGAGATGTAAGAGGGGATAGGCCCTGGGACTGAGCTGATGATAAAATATTAACTCACAGGATATTTAAAGCCTCTGACATTCTTTTCCTGGGTGCCATATTGGAAACGGCCTCCACCAGACATAGCCGGCAGCATGATGCAGTCTGCACGCCAAGACAAGTGATCAAGAGAAATGAGCCCGATCAAAGACGTACTGGATTCATTTTTTGAAAAGTTTAACACTGGTCGTGTTAGAAGCCTGTATTAATTCCATATTTCTTCTTGTCATCCCACTTATATGAGACATTAAAATAAAGGGGCGCTGACGACCTTAGAGTGTTTTGTTTAATGCTTTCTGGGGCTTTTACTTCTCTTCTCAGTTTATCTCTGAGTTGCCTGCATTTCAACTTGTTTAATGTTCATCTGTGGTGTTACTGAGTAGCCCTTTATTTTTTCCCCAGTCTGTTGGCCAAAGAAACATTGTCCTCGCGCTGGCTTTGCCTTAAACCAGTAGGCCTTTCATCATGCACTTTAACGTAAAGACTACAAAGATGGAGAAAGAACTGGCCTAGCAAACCATCATTCGGCAACTCTAATCCGTCTAATTATTATAAATTGTGGTGTTATCTGGAGGTTATGTGCCAGACTATGCACAGTAACTTCTGGGTGCTCAGCTAGCAGCAGTTAGCTCCTTTTCCAGTCCAAAAGCTGAACTAATGTAAACAGTCTCTTGACACTGCCATTAGTTGGTTAACTTAGCCTGTCTTAAAGACTATATTATAAGCCTTACCATTAACCTTGGCACAGGTCACTGAGGCAGTCAGAAAGCTCCCTCAGTGGCAAGGCACCAGGTGTGGATGAGATTTGCCCCGAGATGCTAAAGGCTCTGGACATAGCTGGGATGTCTTGGCTGAAACGCCTCTTCGATGGTGCTTGCTACATGGGTTTCGTGAACATGGATAAGGCCTACGGCTGTGACTCTAGGGGGGTTATGTTGGGGGTACTGCTGGAATATGGGGTCCGTTGCTATGAGCCATCAGGTCTCTATGTACCAAAGTGGGAGCTGTGTCTGCATCCTTGGCACAAGGTCAGACACGTTCTCAATGTGTGATGGCCTCCGCTAGGGTTGAACCTCGTCACAGATTCTGTTTGTAATTTTCATGGACAGGATCTCAAGGTGCAGCAGGAGGTGGGGGGTGGGGGGGGGGCGCTGATCTGAGCCTGAATGCAAAGCTCTCGATATACTGGTCCAGGTCTCCCTTGAAAAATAGGTTTTTAATCTCAATGGGACCGACCTGGTTAAATAAATAATATAAAGAAATCTTCATTCGAACCCTCGCATATGGTCATGAGCTGTGGGTACTGACTGAAAGAATAAGATTGCAGATCCAGTACAAGCCACCAAAATGAGGACATAGATGACAAAAGACTGCCACACCTGCGTTTGTTACTCAGATTAAACCCACTTATACCACAAAGACATCTCCCAGTGTTTATCAACCCTCGAAAGCTCGAGTCAGAGGGCCTTTGTAATATACACTAACATCACTCAGACACTGAAGATAACTGAGCTCCACACTTTGGTTTACCTGTGGTCCAGCCCACTTCTACTGCTAAAGAGGATATTCTCCAGTTCTCATGCTGCTCTTATCGTTCATATAGCTTCATGTCACCTGGTTCATGTGTGTTTGTGAGCCTCGCAGCATCCGTAAGAGGGTTTGTGCTGTGTGTGCACTGACAGGTTCCCGTCCCCTGTGAGATGGGATGCATGGTCGGCTGAGTTTAACTCGACCCATTTGTCACCCTCTGAGCGGTGGAGGAGTGTGTGTGTGTGTGTGTTCAATGTGGTCATCACACAATAGGAGAGTATTGATCCTCCAAATGACTCTGCAGGCGTATATATTTGTCCTATTGTAGTATTTTGTCTGCAAACCTCACACTACTGATACTTATCTCACCGCTGAGAGACTCTAAATAAAAACCTGTAGAGTGTTTTTTATCCTGACCTCAAGCAGTGTTAGGCACTCATGTGTTTTGTTTGACTTCAGTCAAACAAAACTATAGACTGGAGACTATAACTTGAGCCACTTATACTAATAAGTAACACCTTGACCTCTTTTCAATATATTTTCTCAAAATATATATTTGAATATGAAAATGCATTGTTTTTTTCAGAATATAGACTTGCTCTTTTCACTCTTTCCTGCTAGTGACCCCTTCCAGAAAAGCAGCAATTAGTTGGCTCCCTGCATAAAACCCATCTCACAGGTATCAAAAGTATTTCACCAAAAGAGATACACTGACCCCTAATTTAGCAGAATTTTGTTTTCTTAAAGGCGCCCCTTCTTTGATCATTAAACAACTTGATGTATCCTGCTGTGATTCTTGTGAGAGGACTAAAAACCGAGATTTGAGTCACTTGGGCAAACTGCATTATTGTTCATTTTGTAGGGTTACAAAAGGGTTATTTTTAGAAAATTGTTTAACCCATTAAAATATCGAAAAATTCTTACCCAGTGATTTCATAAACAGACTTGGGAAAATAAACTTTCCTATAGTCTGACACGTTTACCTGTGTCAGAGATCCTGAGGTTAAAAAAAGTTCTGTCTATTCTTCAGTTCCACCGCTAGATGGCAGTAATGTCTTCTTCCATATCTTTTCTCCACACTGAACAGAACAAGCACTACTGAGCTTCATTTCCATTACTTCTTCACACATCAATTAAAATATGTAAAACCTTCTAACAGCTGCAAACTCTAATAAAGAAGGCAGTCAACATTTTCAGGAGTCACTGCAGGAACTTGTCAGTGTCTGAGAGCACGAGTTAATGGATGAAAAACCTCCTGATATTGGCCGGGTGTGGTCCAGTGTCAGGACATTCCCTGTTGGATTAGCATCAAGTCCCACTGCGCTCTTCGCCTAATTACAAGCTGGTGAGCACAGGGAAAGCCTGTGTGACTGCTCAGCCGTGCTCCTGTGGGTCTGCTACCATCCCTGACAAACAACACACACACACCCACACACTGTCCCTCCCTGACTACATCAACAACAACACTGTGGCCACCTGCAGCAGGCCTGCGATCTGGCGAACTGCATCCTTGTTCAGGCTGCTCCTTCCTGCCTCTTTCCCTGTTGGCCCCGCTTTCTGCAGAGTGCTGCACTGCATCGCTGGATCAAAGCAAGACTAATGACTACAGCAGAGATGTAGCTACAGCACCAGGGCCCCAAGTGTTCACGCTCGCAGTGCAGAGCTGTAGTTAAACCACAAGTGGACTAAAGATAGACAGCAGCTAAATTTATCATCAGAACAGAGCAGAAGAACAGCACCTGAGACATGAAGCTAAGAAATACTGCATTTTCTAGTTTTATCTTAAAGTCTGCAGCAGAATTGATGGTTATGAAGGAAACAAACCTTCATTTTTCCCGAACACTAACATCTATAGGACACGTTTATTTTTCCCTGTGCTGTTCTGTCTGTCCACCCTTCTTTCTATCTTCTCTTCGTTCCTCTTCTTCGTCTTATCTCTTTCTCCACCAAAAAAAGCTATTAATAGAACACTCTGCTCTCCTGTTTTTTTCAACTGCACAAAGCATTTACCGTGCACAAGGGAGGAGGAAGAAGCATGAAGATACCAGGAGGCGTTTGAAAATATCCTGCACGCTGCTACAAAGACGCTTCATGTCCTAAGAATAACAACAAAGAAGCCCCTGATCGATTCAAAGCGTTTTTGTATCAGCGCAGACACTCGTTGACTAAAATTAGCCACTCACGTCTTCTGCTGACTAGATACCTGGCAACAATGTGATGTGGATGAAGATTTAAAAAACACCCCCACGCTTTATGCCAACAAATATTAAAACAAGAAAAAAAAAAAAGGTGCAGTAATTTCACACAATAAACACGCTGAACACAGTTTCAGTTGAATTATTATTGGCTTCATTATTGATATTACTTCGTCAGGGTTATGATCATTTGGAAGGATAATATGCAGTTTTAATTTCACATGTTTTTCTTGTCCATAGATTGTCCTTTTTGACTTGTAAAGTGCAGATAATACTACGTTTTTAAATCCAGACTTCACATACAGTATATAGTACATGTTTTTTTCTCCATCATCCATTGGTTTGTATTTACATTATTCTCTCACATTTCATTTCATAGAAAGAAAATCCAGAATCCACTGTACCAACGATGATGGATGATTTCAGGCCTCTATGAAAACACGGGGAGGTGAATGACTCTACATATGGTGTCAGTGAATGCCACACAATCAGGCTCTGGGGTCAAACGGAAAAAGAAAAACCTTCCGTTCTCAAACACACATGCATACAGATTGCATATTGATCATCTTGATTCCCGTATGTGTGTTTTAATGTAGGAGCCTGGTTTCAAAGCGCTGACACCGCAGTTCAAACCAACCCAAAGCTCAGACGGCTCATATTCACATTCAGCTCGCGTACAGCAGCAGAACATTGCAAAGTCTGCTTAAAGGTCGGTCTTCAAATGCATCGCCAGCTCTCTTTAAGTGCCAAAACAAAAAGAAAAAAAGAAAGAAAAAAAAAATCATTATTCAAACCTTCTTGACAACCAGCAAATAATCATTCTCTGCATAGATTTCTCAGTGAATTCACTGTTTGGGCTCCTTTCCCATGGAGTGGATTTGCTGGTGGGTCCCCTCAGCAGGTGAGAGATGATTCTTTAATGTTATTAAACAATGCAACATCATTAGAATTGACTTTTTTTTTTTTTACAGATTAAATTTGCAACGTTACAGTTGAAGATGATTCTACTCGTCTTTGTGCTTTAAGCAGAAGTAACCGTGACAAGATGAATTCATGAGTTGCTACAGTGAATTTGGCTGAGGTACAGTAACGTGCCTGATCTCAATCATAACCGATGAACGTTGCATGAATCTACAACGTTCATCGTAAATATCCGTCCAAAAAGAATGTAATGGAAACAGTACAATGCATCTGCATGCATAGACAAATATTTTTGGTCAGACTGTGAGTGTGTGTGTTTTTTTCACATATACAAATATGCAAATGAACGTTGCATATGCAGCTGTACAAGCAGGCTAAGACACTGACATTCAGTGGTTCTCCTTTCTCTCATACAAACACACTAAGTTCTCCCTCATGCACACAGTTTCACATCAACACACCCACGTCAATACTTGACTGATGATCAATAAGAGCGTGGTTGGACTGCGAAGGTCCGTTAAGGTTCATTCTTTTCTTTTTTTAAACAACAATCATCCACCTTCTCCACACAGGACCCTCCACTAAAGGATTATGGGAATATTGCTAAACAAGTATTTAAATCTGGTCCTGCCTCGAGTTACAGACCATTTAAACATCTTAATCCACCTCTGTGCTTCTCTACGGAGAGCAACACATCCAGGTTATTTACTAAAGTTCTCTTTAAAAAAATCCTTCCAAGGTACATGAAAGCAGACAGATCTGGACAGAGAGACGACTTCAGAAGCCTCACGTCAGGCAGTGTGACGAGGCATCCTGAGCACATATTGGCAGCGATGGCGTAAAGACATTTTGCTACTGCAGGCCGTAGACTGTAGTGAGCAGAACGAGACCCTAAGAATAACGATGTACATCCTGACATGACAGAAATCATTTAGACAGTTCCTGCTACTGACTTCCTCCTCCTAACCCGTCACCTCTTTACTCAGACATCTGTGAAGAGATGCAGAAAGGCAAAATACTCCCGAGTGAAAATCACAGGACCCCCATAGGTTAGCCAATATCTGCTACACTGCTGCTAATTATCACTTCCCATATTGACATTACTGCCTTTGACTGTTACCTTGGCAGTGTTGAGCGAACAGTGGAAAGTCTCAGCTGGACACAATCCTAGAATCCCAACCCAATTCAACTTTAAAGCCAACGTTTAAAGACAGATTGAGCTTCCTCCAACCAGACTCCATTTGAATTCTGACCAATTTTACAACAATAAAAAGCCTTCTGACACTACACTCTTGAAAAAGGGACGAAACAGGTTTGAACAACGCCCTGCCTTTCAGAAGATACTTCACAGCAGGCAGTTTTGGACTTTGTGTGTTTTAATCCAGGATGTGTTGACATGTACGGAAAGACTTGACGCTTGATAAAATGTATTTTGTAGAGTTATAGATTGACCAATACCATGTCTTCCTTCCTGATACATGAGAAATCTCAGATACAGAGTTACCATCCGATACTAGAACAATACAAAAATGTGCGCATTAGCATTTTGGTGGATTTAACGTTGACTCTCTGCTATCACAGCAATGTTGTTGTTTGGTGTAGTCACTTGATGATTGGTCGGAAATCAGTTGATTATTTAAATCGCTAATGGATAATGGTATCCAATCCACGCATTGTTGGCCCCTACCAAAAGCCACATTTTCATCTGTGTCTTTGCTGACACCACAATGGTATCGACATTGGAACAATCATAGAAAGGGCGAGTAAGAGTGTCTTTGGCCCTCTGAACAGGGTCTTAAACAGGAGAACATAGAGACAGTGCTCGGAGCTAAGATTAGGCCATTCAAAATAAAAACATGGCAATGATCTGCGTTCTTTTTTTTTGAAAAGCTTGCTTTCTCTTAAATATAGCTTTTTTAAGGTTTATTAATTCTTTTGATAACAGTGTATTGGATATGTGTACTGTCTGTATACATATATTTTTAATATATATATTTTAAATAAATATCTACTGTAATAATTTGTAGTCTCAGAGGCTTCTTTAAGCTTAAATTCATGCTTCTATGAATGTTTTTTGAGTCATGCAACACTAGGAGAGTAGCGTAAACCCAGATAAAAAGGCAGGTCAGGGGGAAGCAATATTCCATATATAAGAGTCCTTGAAAGTTGCTATTTTCGATGATGAGGACGTGATTATGTGACAAACCTGTTAGAAAAAAAAAAGAGAGTGCTGCGAGTCTGTCCCATCGGCAGCTGGGGTAAGGTCCAAAACTAGAGTGTGAGTCACAGCTCAGCGGCGAGACGTCTACAGCGACCTGGCAAAACTTTTAACGGCAGATGTTGCCTACATGGAATGTTAATATTGATTTATTCCTTAAGATATATTCTAACGTACAGCTTTAGGTTCTTGCAACAGCTACCTGTAGGCATCCTTTTTTAAAAGTGAGAATCTGTGTAGAAGGCAGTGTACAGACAAATATACAGTGGTGTGAAGAAGCAAGTGGCAGTCGAGAAACGAGTGGAAATTATCATTCAGATTAAAAATGTCATGCACTTATCTACGGACTACTACTAACAGCACCTACCTACTGGCTATCAGTTAAATCACAGTTAACCTACTTATCTATATGAATAAGTACTCCGTGAGTGTGAAAAACCGTGAAAAACAAACCAAACAAGACATTCAAGTTGTCCTCAAAGCTCTGCAGTAAGACCAGTTTTGGGTGAATGAATGGGGGAAGCTTGCATTGCAAATACATACAGTACATGTAAGACCAAAGCAGTGAAAAAAGTCAAGGCCATTCTCAGTCATTCATCAGATACTGATGCCTGCTGGGAAAAAAAAGGCGTCGAACCATAAGCGTATATCGCCGATGGCTGTCATTCATCCTTGAAATAACGTGGTGTACTTCACCACCAACCTCGTCACAAGTCACCCACAGGCCGGGTCAGCACAGGAGTGGGCTCGCTTTATCCTCGCACGGACTCTTATTTCTAAACCTTGTAGCATAAGACAGTTTTTGTTTCATTGGCTCCAGGAAGCAGCATATGGAGCGCGGTACGACTCTTCAGAAAGCACATGGCAGAGAATGAGGGATTGTGGGAAAAAGGGATAAAGCAAGGTCTATGTTGTGTTGCTTTTTTATCTTTTTAAATGCAATACGTTTTTTTTTTTTCTTGCATTGTTTCTCCCTTTTTTTCCTTTTCTTTTTGTGCACTACTGTTGGCTACTGTTGTGAGCAGGGACTTTTTAGCATATTTTTTTGTTAAATATCAGCCACACAGAAGGAGCCAACTCCATGCAGAAATGTAAAATTTTAAATTTCACTTTGTTTGACAGTTATTAGGAGTTTCAGGGACGAGTGATGAGGATGAGAGCAGAGTGAGCGGATGGTCTTTTGCAATATTCTTTCACTATAGGGGTCTTTCGTCTCACATCATCAGCGTCCTGAATTCTATTGCCTTGGTTTTTTTCCAGCACGCGTGTGGTGGGAGGCTACACACCAGTCCCATCCAGTTGCTCAGCTCCACATGTCCCGCGGTGACATGGAGGAAAGAAGCAGATGGCAGCTACACGTCTGTGAGCATTTTAGTGATGTTTACATAGTTTGTGTTGGCCAGCGTGCAGTTGGCCGTCTTAAGGTTCTCCTCCTGAAAGTCCTCATTGCTGTTGTTCACAGCCTCCTGAATTTCCATATAGTCCGATTTGCTAATGGAGGAGCCGCTCCGGCTCTTCTTCAGCTCCTCGGCTGAGTCCGTTTTTGCGACGTTGACCTGCAGGTACTGCGCCTGCTCCTCGCCTTCCGTCTCACGGTGGTAGAAATAGTTGAAGTTGGACACGATGACGGGCACGGGCAGGGCGATGGTCAGCACACCTGCGATGGCACAGAGGGATCCAACGATCTTGCCGCCAATCGTGGTGGGGACCATGTCACCATAGCCAACTGTTGTCATGGACACCACAGCCCACCAAAACGCATCTGGGATGCTTTCGAACTGCGACTCCGGCTCGTCTGCTTCTGCAAAGTAGACTGCGCTCGAGAAGAGGATGACTCCTATGAACAGGAAGAAAATAAGCAGGCCCAACTCTCTCATACTGGCTTTGAGGGTCTGACCAAGAATCTGAAGACCCTTAGAGTGACGAGAGAGCTTAAAAATTCTGAAGACTCGTACCAAGCGGATGACCCTGAGGATGGCTAAAGACATGGCTTGCTGACCCGCTTGACCATCATCTGGTCGATCTGCGAGCTCTGTGCCCAGTGTGATGAAGTACGGGATGATAGCAACGATATCAATAATGTTCATTATGTTTCCAAAAAAGCCTGCTTTGCTTGGGCAGGCGAAGAAGCGCACCAGAAACTCAAAGGAGAACCATATAATGCAGAGAGTCTCCAGGATGAAGAAAGGGTCAGTAAAGTAGGCATTTGTGTAAGTGATGATTGTGGTGTTGGTCTCAGGTGAAAAAACCTTTGAAGACTTGTGCATGTCGTCGTCGTCGTTGCGAAAAATGGGGAGGGTCTCCAGGCAGAAACTGACAATAGATATGAGGATGACCATAACAGAGATTATGGCGATAATCCTAGCAGGACCTGAGCTCTCTGGGTACTCGAACAGCAGCCACACCTGTCTCTGAAACTCATTATCAGGGAGAGGACGCTCCTCCTCCTTGATGAAACCCTCGTCTTCTCTGAAAATCTCGATGGCCTCATCACCCAGCTCATAGAAACGGATCTCCTCTGAGAAAATATCAAGGGTGACATTGACCGGCCTTCTTAGTCGGCCCCCTGATTGGTAATAATACAATATGGCGTCAAAGCTGGGTCTGTTCCTGTCGAAAAAGTACTCGTTCCTCAGCGGGTCAAAGTAGCGCATCCTCTTTTTGGGGTCCCCCAGCAGAGTCTCTGGGAATTGGGAGAGAGTTTTGAGTTGAGTCTCAAAGCGCAGCCCTGAGATGTTGATGACCACCCTCTCACAGCAGTCATGGTCGGCCTCCGGGTCGTACTCCTGCGGGTGGCCCGGGTGAGCCGCCGCTTCATCAGAGGGGTCGCCTGTGGCAACAGTCATTCTGCAGGGGGAGGGGGCCTGCACTTTTCAGGGAATCTGGGTCCTGCAGCCTGGAGAACTGCAGGCAGGGACCAGGAGAGGGAGGGGGCTCAACAGCGTAAAGACCTGACGGCCACAGGATGTCACCTAGGATCTGACTGCATGTAGGACAGACAGAGCAAAGACAAGACAAGAAGGTCAGGTTCTGGAGACATGATTCAGCAATTCAAACTTCAGTCACCAGATGTCAGGGATTTTCTTTAGCTTGAAGAGAAAAGAACTGAAAATAGATGAAAATGAAGCCACTGCTTGAAACAATGCCCTAAGACTTGACGAGAGTGATGTGAAGTTCTGTAGTCGTGAGAAGCAGCCGATACAGAAATGAATCAGCTCATGAAAACTTGAGGGTGACAGTGACACTCCTACCCCTGAATTAATATGCAAATAAACTATCCGCCTTGCATATAAATGGCTTCAATGCAGGTAGACTGAGGGCTAACTGGCACATAAAAACGTACAGAAGCTCATAAATTAGAGCAGTGATCTGCTGCAATGGAAGTATCCACTGAAATGAATGGGACTACCCTTTTGCAGTGAAGCCATGCATGAATATAGCGATGCAGCAGGCACCAAAATACATACAGACAGCATCCTGTCTATAGACTATCACATAAATCTACTGCAGTCTAAACAAATGTGTGAGAAGATTTCAAGATTTAATGAACACACCGACACCTCATGTTAATCGACTTCGCTTACAGTTTTGCTGGAGCATTTTAGTCTTGAAATGGTGCCTGGCTTTGAAATATTCAAAAATAGCTATAAATAATTGATCCATAGAAGGAAATAGGCTCCAGGAGAAAACCGGTTTCTTTTTTATCTGCATTACACAATGAAACCCTTACAGTAGACACAGGCATGCTTTTTCTGCTTCATCACTCTTCCAAATGAAGTGTACACACTCTATGCCATGTATGATCACAATCAGAGATGGAAGGTGAACGTATGCTGCTTTTTCTAGATGTCATACATACCTGCAGACATCTTCATATCTGCTGCGAGTTGAAGCTCCTGCTGGACACACTGGTGAACAACCAGCTGCGGCATGAAGCTCCACAGACTTCAGAGCGGGTGGAAGAAGAAAAAAAAACAGAACTTCCAATTTAGGGCGGCCGATGATATTCACCTCATGTTGTCTGCAGCATCCTCGCCGTTTCACACCGGGTACAGTATATGCGGGTGTGTCCTCGCTTTCCCCTCCCTGACTCCCTTTCCTTTCCTCCGGGTAGGCTGTCGTGGGATGGCGATTGGCAACAAAAAAGGGAGGGAGGAGGGAACCGATATGAAGGAGGTTGCTGGTGCTTCCCCTTATTAACCAAAAGGTGCTGGGATCAGCAGAATGAAAGCGGCCGGTGAGGCTGTGTGATGCAGACAGCCGCAAAGGTAAATAGTCCCGATAAGGTGCTCAGAGAGGAAACATCTGCAGAGGGAGGGGGCGAAAAGGCAAGGCGTGTAGGAGGGAAGCAGCTTAATGTGATTACCAGGATTTAATAATTAGACGCCTTCTTGGATAAATGCATCAATAATCATTTCTGTGTGGGAATAAATCTGCCCCATGCGTCATCACAGCCAGTGCAAATTTTCAGTCCTTATTGAGACATGCAAAACAAACAACACCTCGTCAGGATCAGAATCCACAAGCCTGAGCTGCAGGCAGGCAGGCGGAGTGTCAAGTGCGTCCCTCCCAGAGACTATTCTGTGAGTGTCCTAATAGCCTCCTACATGAGGAGCAGGGCAGCGTCTGCAGACACTGACGAGCAACGACATGCGTGAAAGAATCGCCCTCCGTAGTGGGCTATAAGATTATGCAATTACATTGAGCCAGAGCCCCACACACCCACATAAAGATAACACATGTAAAACGGCCGTTGTTGGTGATGCAGCAGAGGTGAGAAAATGTTATTATATTAAAAACGTGACAGAATTTTTTTTTCAGGTGGAATTTCCAGCTTAGTCAAACCTGCATTCACGCATTGCATTGCATACCAAGAGGCTGATGGAGAATGAAAGATCGAGAAAGCGCGTTTTCCATCCGCACTGTTGCCTGTTACCACTCCTTACCTTATCTGCAGTGTGGGCAATTTAAAGGGGAACACATCTCCAGCTTTTCTTCAGATGCTCTGCTGCAAAGCAAAAACATGCCTTCACTGCACCCTAACATCTTCTTTTACCAGGACTAAGTCAACTCCTCTTTATTGATAAAACACCTGCAGCTCGAACTACTTCACATATGAACTAAAATAAGGAAAGAAAGAAGAAAAAAAAGACGATATTTTGTAGTTAAATGTTAGAAATGAAAAGGCCAAATAAATTCACAAAAACGTTGGCAAAAACACAGCCGCAAATGAAAGAAATAGAAAAGATTATTAAGAGCCTGTGAAAACAACATTAACAGATACGAAAACTGCTGATGTTAAATAAGCCTTCAGTCCCCTTTTTTATTTTTTAGCATGTTCTAACAATACCTACGAGAAATGCATGTCTCTCTTTCAAGTGTCTTTCCTGAGCTTTAATGAGCAAACAGCAGCTGTGGCCCTCATGAAGTCATTTTCTGTCTTGTAATCTTTATAACAGCAGTTATATTTGTACCCTTTCCTGGCAACAAGCTTCATTAATAATAGATTGGAGGGTGACTAAAATAGAGCAAAACCTCCATCATTGTGCCTGGCTGTATTCAGAACAAAGAACAAATTGATCAATAGAAAAATCCTGTTCCTGCTATCAATTCTGGAGTCAGGGGTGAAAGCCGCGTGGCCAGAAGTGACCTCTGGTGAAGCCAAAGGTCAGCGGGAATCCCTCGGTTGGGAAGTGAATGGAGGAAAAGGGAGGGGGGTTGAGGTCAGCAGGATGATTTGTGTGAGACTCGGCTTTGCCAAGGTTACTCCTGGCAGACATGAGTCCATCACGGCTCCCGGCCTCGTCCCGTCTGTCTGCCTGCCTGCTGCCACACACACAGATACCTCTCACTATCTCTTAATGGCTTTCCCAGGTTCCCCATGACAGCACAGCCATTATTTATGAGCCGAAGACCCGTTACAAAGACCGTTAATGCAGCCTCTAAAGCTCAGTTCACTTTGCATTAGCCGGCTGCCTTTAATTAAAAGCGAAGGGTCGCTGCTCTCTGGATGCTGCGTGTGTTTCAATCATATGGTGGCGTGAAATTGAAGGGTCGTGTAAGCTGGCACATGAGGGTGTCAACGGTGAGCTCGTTTCCAGGAGGTATTGATTTCAGTCTTTTAAATCGGATGCTTATTGGCACAGGAACAAGAAAGGTTAATGAACTTGAAGGCTGAGAAGCTGAAGGGTCATTAACACTCAGCCTCAAGATACATGACAGATCTTTCTCATTCTGCTTTTTTTTCTTCATCTTATAGGATAAGACGGCTCATTGTTATCTAATCATATGAGAGCAATGAGTGGAACCAAAAATATTTTATCAAACAAATGGTTGCTTCACCTGTCCCACCTGAATTAGAGCAGCAACAGCTCCTTTCAACCAATAAATATTCTCTCTAGTTTCAGTGCAGTCGGACTTTACTGAGTTTACAATCAAGAAAAAAAAAATGAAACATTTGTGGACAAGACACCTAATTCAAAGAAACCTAATGCCATCGAATGTGGAATTTTGTCAAAACGTCACACAACTTTTGCATGAAGAACAACATTCTAACACTGGCAAAACCTTTGGACATTTCTGCCTTTGTGTGTCTTATTTCAGCCACTCAATGAGCAGACGGGAGATGTGATGAGAGTAAGAATCCCAATCCTGAAAAAGAGACGGTTTAATGCAAAAAAAACAAAAACATAGCTGCTAGATCATCAGGGTGCTTTAAATTTGGAATTAAATTTGATTTATAGAATCAGGAACTTTTTAATGAAAGAGTAAGTATCTATAAACATCACCAGATAATTAGTGCAAACTTTGGTTTGAAACGTCCAGTATCAAGGCTGCATTCCCATCCAGGTCAGGTGGGCACACACACCTGAGCTCCAGGCCAGGAAGTGGCAGTCTCACAGCATGACAGCTGGTTTTTGAAACAGAATTTTTTTTTTTTTGTTTGGGGGGGTAAACAAAAATCTGGATTACTGGCCATTGTTATAGCTTTATTAAGAGATACACTGTTGAAAAAAAGCTAGTTATTGATACATTCAAGATTCTGTGTATTCATACAGTAAAATGATTTTGGGTGTTGAAAGTGCTTTTGTTGCCTTTGTGGTCTGAGTACTATCCACTAGTTTGTAAAGCGGCTTTGGCTGTTAGAAGAAAAACAGTCGGTACTGAGAGCAAAGAGGGCATAACACATCACCTGTAACTTAACCTGTTATCCAACCAGCAGTCATCTGGCGAGTGGCGACTATATCACATTTATTAATCTCTGAAGATGTATTCTTGGGCTCTTGTGCCTTTAAGTTGGATAGGACTGGATAGAGCTGGAAATCAGAGCGAGAGAAAGAGAGTGAGTGGTGACAGCAGAACCTGCCTTTTTAATCTGGCTTTTAATTAGGAGTGATTTTACTGCTTTGACTTTTTCCTTTATTATTGTTTTTACATTTATTTTATCTCTTGTTTTTATTTGCATTTTATTTAATGTCAATACTAAAATGTGAATTCTTTGTGTTTGACATTCTTTGTGTTTTAGTTCTGTTTATTCTTTTGTGAAGCACACTGAGCTGCATGTTTTTATGTATGAAAGGTGCTACATAAATAAAGCGAAGTTAAGTGAATGACGTGCGGGAAAGGAGCCGTGGATTGGACTTGAACCTGGTCCGCCCGCTTTATCCTCCGTATATGGGGCACAGCCTAACTGCAAGGTCAGCTGCACCTCACATTTGATAATTCTCCATAAAAAAAAACATCTTGTTGTTTGACTTAATAAGGAATCAATATACAATATCTGACTGAGATTACAAAGCAACTTCATATATTTGATCACCTACTACTAAGTTTCTCTTTTTGAATGGTTGGTTGGTAAAACAATCTGAACAATCTGTTCCCAAAGCTCCAGGGTGACTCACATGTACACATGTTTATCAACGGGAAGTGTCTGTGCTGTTTCGCCTCCTCCCTGGAGAGCAGTCCTCTTTCTTTATTGACACTGGATGTCTGCTGTGCCTCCTTGCTACTTGGCACTGCATTGCAGCAGCCACAAGTTTTAAGCACACACACACACACACACACACACACACACACACACACACACACACACACACACACACACACACACACACACACACTGGACATAGATACACACACACAAAGAATGAAAAAGGCTGCAAATAGTAAATTTGTAAATTGCAACATGATACAATTCAAGGACCCTGAACTTCCTGTAATCAGCAAGCTATCACTAGTCACAGAATACATAATGATGGAATACATGACTTCTGCACATCATTTAAAACAATTTCATTTATTCTGACTTGTTTATTTCCACCTGTGTTTTCTTGAGGGGTTTCTAGAAAACCCCACAAACTTGCTCCTAAAAACTTGATTTACAAAGCATTTCCTGTGAAACTCAGTTTGTGTTTACCCTCTGGGAGATGAGTCATTTCAGAATCACTGCTCAGGATGGAAAAAACGGAGGTGCCCTGCAAAAAAAAAAAAAAACAAAGCTGGGTTATAAAGACCTCTACAGCGACCAGGCTCTGAATGGAGGTAAAGAATTAAAAGAGAGGCTCAGGTACACAAACATATGGCAATGCAGCTCCCTGTGTCTTTCTCTGTGTCCCCTGGAGCTGACAGTATCTCTGAGGAGGAGAGAAAATAAGGGATGGAGATAAAGAGAGGAGAGAGCATTGTGTAGAGAGAAGGAGGTGAAGGGAGGGAGTCGTGCTCATCTGATTGAGACTCAGCAGGATGAAGCCAGACGCTGGAAAAGAGCCAGACACCAGGAGAGATGCAAGGACATTGGCCACTCCACATTGCGGTACAATGCCAAGCTGCACCTCTCACAGCCAGAAATCTTCACAGGAATCCTCACACGTCCAATGCAAGAGCTAATTATCTGAATCTGCTACATTCGGACTTCTTTTCAAATGATAACAGTCTGCGTGCTGCACTGACTTATAGCACTGTGCTGTGGTTTCTAAAGTGATAGCATGCAACGTCTGGCTGAAACAGAAACACACGCACATCTTACTATACAGCTTCTGCATTCATCATTCATGCAAACAGCAGCAAAAAAAACACAACAAAGAATCGTGGCTTCATTCAATTCAGTCAGCTCTCCTGTAGCTGAGGGGAAGGATGTGAGTCAGTCAGGGAGTGAGTCAGTGTCACTGGTGCAGGGAAACCCTCTTCTGCTGCAGTCGACAATAGGTGTGCATGAGTGACTGAAATTCTAGTCAAGGTAAGTGCAGGCTCAAGAAACTCTGGGTCGTGCTACACCAAGGTCAAACTAGAAATGAGATACCTTGTGTTCGAAAAGAGAGCATAAATTGAACAGATTGAGTGACTGCACCATTGAGGTTTTTAATATGCAAGGCAAGGCTCTGTTAAAGGAAGGAAGTTAACTTTATGCATTGCATGCAGCAGCGACTTATTGCAGCATATCACTCCGCCCATGAATATTTAAGCA